CAACATGCCGAGATCTTGAGCAGCTAAGTTGAGGATAGCACCAACGAGGAAGAAGATAGAAGCGAGAATGATTGTTGGTTTCCTTCCGAATCTTCTAGAGAAATAGGAAGCAGCTAAACTGGCGAAGATACCAGCCAAGTAGAGAGAAGAAGTGAACAACTGCAAAAGCTGGTCATCGAATTTGCAGTAGTTGTTTTCATGCACTCTGTGTTTCTTCTCGTACACGTGAGGGAAAAAATCTAACAGAAATGTGTCCATACTCGTCACACCTCCTGCAAAATGTTTAATTAACCATTACTCAACAGATCACCAAAAGAAAAAAGTTTACGAGTATCAAACAAAAGACAGAACTGAAGTAAAATCTAAACCTGAGATTCCAATGTCGTAACCAAACATCAGACCACCAACAGCAGCAATGACACAGCAGATGACGACTTGCATAGTCATCTTTGCAGGGAAAGGAACATCTTCTTCGATCTTCATCTCTCCCATCTATTGCTCTCTCTCTTCTGGTTAATATTTTTATAAATGTGTTTAGAAAGGATAAAATATTCTTAGAATTGTGTTTAGGAAGGATAATATATTCTTATAATTGTGTTTAGGAAGGTTTCGTAGATGAAAGATCTGTGTGTTCTTTTATAGGTGAATGAGGATAGATTTGGATAAACTTTGCTTATGCATAGAATCTTTCTCACCGAGATTTACTCTTCATTTATCTGAAAATTTGGATAATCTTACTCATAATTAATTATTGATGATAAATTTTTAAAAATTTAACTAACACTTTATTTTCCGAAATCTTGTTTCGATATCAAGATATTGTAGTTTTAATATGTTATTTAATTGTTAACAAAAATTCAATACTTTTTAAAATCGTTTAGATCAATAACGAGATAAGGACAAATTTTTTTTTTTTTTTTAAGTTTATAATTTCCTTAATCTCTTTTGTGACATACGATCCACCGTAACAATTTCAATGATTATTGGAATTTAAAACTGTATCAATGCATGTTTTGACCATTAAATAATTCAACTACCATGGTTTATTTTATC